TATATATATATATGAATTTAAAGTGAATTTTTTATTTATGAGCAACTCTTGTTTAGCTCGGGAAGAGTAAAATACAAATAAAAAATGATGGATTTATCTGCATACTGCATTTTAAATCTAGGAATTTTTTTGTATAACGTTTAAATCCTTAACATCATATTAATGATATAATTAATATTAATTTGTGAAAATAAGATTTTCTTAAACAAGTTTTGGTGTGTTGTGGCATAAAAGTCATAAAAGTAAATCTTTTTGTTTAGATGTTTGATATATAGTTAAATAAGTATTATGATAAAAAAATTGCTTATTTGTATGATCAGGCTAGTCGAACGGTACTTGAGCTCGCTCATCCATCACAGTTGGGCCAATTAATGGGTTTATATTCAAGCTGCAGTTAGGGGGTATAAATGAGCCGAGCATGAGCTCATGTTTGGCTCGTTTAAAGGTAGGGACAATATTTAAAAATTATTATTTATATTTTTTATTTTATTTTCTTAATAAATACTTTTAATTGATTATAAATCTTTGTAGTCTTGTAGTGAATTAAACTTTTTAAAAATAGTACTCATCAAATATATAAATATATATATAATTGATTAGTAGTATTTCAAGTCAAAATCAAACACGAATAAACAAATATTTGTTCGTGTTGTTCGTGTTCGGCACTTTAACTTAGCGAATGAGCCAAACACGAGCTTCTTAACGAGCCGAGCATGAGCTGTTTCCGAATGTCCATATATAATTGATGAGTAGTATTTCGAGTGAAAATAAGTTGAGCAAGAACGAACAAATCTTTGTTCATGTTCGAGTCTTTAACTTAGCAAACGAGCTGGACACGAGTTGATTAAAGAGCCGAACACGAGCTATTTACGAACAACGAGACATTTTGACAGCCCTAACTGCAGCTGCAAATTGTTATCTTGCGTTTTGTTCTAGTTACTATTTTTGCAGCAGCAGTTCTTTTATGATTTGTTTAACCAGCCAGGAGGATATATCTTATGCTCTTGATTTTTTGTTAGCTCTAATTAACGGATAGCATCCCGATTCTTGCGTGGGTTGTTCATGCATTTTTGTGGCCTAGTACCGATTAATTCAAGTAATTTGCATCCGGCTACTAAGCTAATTTTATTTTTTGGTTAGGCTGCATGAAGGCAACGAAATTTTTGATGATATAGGAAGCAAGGGCAACAAATTGGAGCTTTATATTAAAGCCAATTATTATTTAATTATTAGAACAATGATGAAAGAAAGAAGGTTTTGCTACAAGTACGTCGAGAGTACACTAATTATTACCATGTAACAATATATACATATATATACATATATATATATATATTTAGCTAGAGACATAATTCATGTCTTTCTAAACTGCAAAACAGTTCTTAATAATATATATAGGAAGAATTTTAATTTCCGGCTGCAAAATATTTAAGAAATACAGACAAAATTCTTCAGAGGAACGTCTCCATCCTCGTGAGCCAAACTTTGAACGTACATGAACAAAAATAAATCTCTTTTACACTATGACGTGAAGTTGCTTAGAGAAGTTTGCGTCTGTGATACAAATTTATCCCAATTATTTGGAATCTACTTTATGAATAAAATTTTTGATGCATGACATGATGTGGGAGGCATGAAACTTATTCTTACAAAAATATCTAAAGCAACTTGGAAATTTTTTACATTTTTTTGTTTTTTTTCTTCTATATTTAAAACATGTTTAAACAATATAAGTTCATTTTCAGCAATATTCTGCTTCACAGAATTCGAAATTGTGATGTCACTAAAAAGCAAAGGAATACCAATCTTTGTCTTTCGGCCTTATCTTGAATCTCGACGGCTTTATTGCAGGGATCATGCCATGCCATCCAGTTTTTATTTTTATTTTTATTTTTTTTGACTTGCAAGGCTATGCTGTCATTGCTGCTTTTGTTTGGCAGCAGTAGAAATCAGAAAGCACGCTGTGCTGTCAGTGTAAGATGACAAGGAGTCTACTTGGAAGTGAGAGAGATATATATCAGAAGAGAAGAAAAGGGCACATGGCTTAGTGCCCATTTAGTTTCGTACAATTTAGAAACTATGTTCTTAACCAAAAAGAAAAAAAAAATGAAATTTATCATCATTTCATTTGATTTAATTTTCAAACTCTGTCTAAAGTGAAATTTAAAATGAGGAAAACAAATGCTAAACTCTTCTTCAGCTTTACACAGCTGATGAAGTCAAACCATGCATCCATCCATCATGGTCTTGGTTATCAAAGAGGTGGAGAAAGAGAAGCAACTCTGGAGAAAAAAGCTTGGAACGTTAACGCCGGTCATTTTCTTTCACACCTCGTTTCTTTCATGGGGTTTAATGCTATCAATTTAATGGACATGTATGCATGCATGTGAAAGAGCAATCACTGATGCTGAAAATAACAGTAGACCGATGCTGAAGAATTTTTAATCTTCATTAGATTACCATAATTAAGAATCAATTATCAATATCAAATTTGTATTCTTTTTTACTGGTTACAAGTATTTAATGAACATGTTTTGAAGCGAGGTACCTTGAGTGTGTACTTTTACTTATAAATGATATAATTATAATTATGAGATATCTTCAGTAGCAAATTACATATCGTCATAAAATTTTCTATATATATATAATATAGAAAAAAATTAGCATAATAAAAAATGATATGATCATTTCAGTGAATGTCAACTTGGATAATGTCATCCAATAGGCTCTAATTAGCACAATAGGAAGCAAGAGCACGTTCATACATGGCAAGTTTGTGAACGTGTATGGGTATCCAAGAACATAAAAGAGTGATGAGGACTATAACAAAAAGAGAGAAGTTGAGATCACGAGGAAAATTTCAAAACCAAACTTATCCTTTCTTAAGTGCTAGGATCAACAAGAATAAAAGTGGATGAGATTATTTTAAAAAGAGATAATGAGGCTTGCTTGTCATACTCTTTTCAAGGAGCCTTGCTTTAGAGATAAGATGCTTACATCAAATGAAAGTCGTTGATATTTCGGGACATTTACGTCTATACCATGCAATTATTTAGGATTTATGTGTGTGACAAGTAAATATTGCTTTGTATATGTATACCATAATATTCTTTCTCGTCCAACATTCCTACCACACCCATTTATTCGTAACCTCCCATCAAAAGAGAAGAAATCCTGCCCAATACTCCCCGGCGAGCGTGTGAAAGCCTTCGTCTCCCTCGCGAGTCGTACAATACATATATATATATATATATAGATAGTAAGAATATCTTGTTGTTTAAATTAAATAAAAAATTAAAAGAACAAAGGGTGCATTTTTTTTTTCGTTTTTTCTTAATCCATTTATCATGCCTGATTCACATGAAATTGGTGTATTTTATTTAGAATAACTTGATATCTAACTTGATATCGGAAAGGAATCGGTATTTAGGACGGACTAAACTACCCCCTAAATACTAGTTCCTCATATGTGCTAATTCGACCTCGGCGG